GGTCAGGGCACAGGCAGAACCAACAGCATGGCAAGTGAGGGGCTCAGAGCTGTGGTGGGGGAGGCCGTAAGAGGAGTATCTACCTAGGGAGTCAGGGTAGGTCAGGCCACGAGAGGCCTGATGGTTAGGGAGCAGGCAGAAAGAGGTGTAGGAGCCTGAAAGGACCTCTGGTAGGGGTGGGGCTGAGCTGGGTTAGGGAGGTCAAGCCCAAAATGGAGGCCCATTCCAGGCTGAGGAAGCCATTTAGGGAACTGAAAGTCCACCACTGTGGCCTGAGGGTGGCGTCTCAGTGGGTGGTAGGAGAAGTGCAGCTGGAGCCAGCAGCAGGCCTTGGCAGTGAGGCTGAGGGCTAAGAAAAGGTAAAGAGTTACAGCAGCAGTGAAGGTTTTAGGGAGCCCTCTTGTGCTTTGAGTCAGCAGGCAGCGCATGAGTCACCACTGACCCAGGCTGAAGGCTGTAGCACCTAAGCCAGAGATGTCAGAGAGGTGCTGGTGGGGGTGGGACAATGAGGTGGTTCAAACCCTTCTCCCTGCTCTATGACCCAAAAGGTAACCAGAGCAGGAGCTATCAAGGGGGCCAGGCTGTCACCTGAACCACAGTTGGGGATCCCCAGGACAGACCATCCCAACAAGTCATGGGGCCGGGCACACTGGGGGCAATTCATAGATCCAGACAACCTGTCCTGTTAGGGCCTTGTGAGGCGCTGCCGTCCCTAGGTGTGGGAACTGATAAGGCAGGAGGGTGCCCCCTTCTGGCCGAAAGATGGAAGTACTGGGTCAGAACAGCTTCTGTTTGGAGATGGGCTCTAGCCGGTGGGCTCAATGTGTGTCTCACCTTGAGGCCCTGGCCAGTCTGGAGATGCCAGCACTAAGTGACAGGAGTCAGTGGTGGCAAGAGTGAGCTCCATGGAAGGGAGGCAAGAAGGGGAAAATAGGTCTAGGCTGATCTTCACAGCCTTTCACCACGACTCTCACCCTCTAGGATAGGTGAGGGTCTACCAGACCCCAGGAAGAAGAGGGCTGGGGGAAGTTCTGTGCATGCAGGCCTGAAGAAGCAGCTGGAGCAAGAAGGGTCTGAGCTGGAGGACCCTTCCTCCCCTGCACATGTGAGAGGCTCTGGCTGCCCCCAGGCTGTGGATGTTGGAGAACTCCTAGCCCTCACAGCCCCCTTCTTCCACAGGAAGGCCTGAACCCTGACCCCAGTTCTGTCCCTGGCCCACCTGCAGCCACAGTTTCACAACCACCCCCCGGTGAGTAGTAACAGGAGTAGTGACCCAGCTTAGCTCAGGCTGCTCACAAACCCTGGGCTGGGACTTCCTGAGGGTGGGCAGATCCCACTGAGCGTGCCTTAGCCTAGTCTCTGTCTGCAGGTGGGAGTCCCCCATCAGAGGAGCCACCCCCAAGCCCAGGGGAGGAGGCCGGGCTGGTAAGGAATGCTGTCACGTGGGAAGAACTGATGGATGGGCACTTTCTGGGCAGGGCCTGGGCTGAGTCCATCTTGTCCCCTGCCCCCCTGTGTATTGTCCCCAGCAACGGTTCCAGGACACAAGTCAGTATGTGTGTGCAGAGCTGCAGGCCCTGGAGCAGGAGCAGAGGCAGATAGATGGCCGGGCGGCCGAGGTGGAGACACAGCTGAGGAGCCTCATGGAATCAGGTAGGGTGGGTATCTGGAACCCATGCCCCATCATAGACCACCGGATCTTCCTAGCCCTACAACACCTGACTGTGGGAGAAGCTGGGAGGATGCATGGCTGGAGGCATCATCCCCATTTAACAGCTGGGCATGCTGAGGCCCTGCGTGGTGAAACGGGTTGCTGGAGGCACAGAGCTCTGGCTTCTGAGATGTCACAAGGGAGCCACCCCCTTCCCCAACCCCCAGACACCCTGCTCTGACACCAGGGTCAGGAGGCAGGCCTGGTGACTGTCCCCATCCTGATTCAGGTGCCAACAGGCTGCAGGAGGAGGTGCTGATCCAGGAGTGGTTCACCCTGGTTAACAAGAAGAATGCCCTTATCCGGAGGCAGGACCAGCTGCAGCTGCTGTGAGTTCTGGTCCCACCAGCCCAGGCTCTGCCCTCAGCCTGCCAGGGCTGGAGCACAGGGAAACTTAGCCGCTTTGGCTAGAGCTATGCACTCCTTTCTTTTTCTTCTTTTTTTTTCCTTAAGGTGTTGCTATAGGGCACATGTGCTTGCCAGAGGGATACAGAGAGAGTGAAAAAGAGAGAGGGAAAGTGAAAAATTACTCCCCGGGGTGATGGCCACACTGCAGTCCCTTCTCCTCCATTCTCCTCTCAGGATTTTGGGCACTCAATCACACGAGCCTAGCGTATTTTCCAAGCTGCCAGGTCTGGGATTCAAACTATACACTGGGTCATGTGAGATCTGGCTGCCTTCATCACTTACTGGCCCATGTTTTCTTCTTTCTTTTTCTTTTTAATTTGTCAGAATGTGCATGCACTTGTCAGAGACAGAGACAGAGAGAGAGAGGGAGAAAGTCTCCCCATCGAGGAGCAGGACCTGGAGCGCAGGTTTGAGCTGCTGAGCAGTGGGGAGACTTTCCCCATCCTGTTGGGACTCTGGGGACATACCCGCAATGTGTTTCTCAAGCCACTGGTGAGGATTTGAACTGGGGTCAGCCATGTGGGCTCTAACCACTAGTCCACAGGGCCGGCCTTGCTTTCTTTTTTCTACAAAGATATTTTTGAAAAATTATAGAACCCTTATAAATTTTTTGTCCCATCCAATTTACTATATGAAGTTTATCCTTTTAAATTGGTACTGTTTGTACTGATGAGAAAACCAAGGCCCAGAGCAAAATGTGAGCCAGGAGGGGCAGGGCTGAGTCCCTCCAGTGTGACCCTGTCCCTTTATAGTAAGCAAGACAGGGCCAGGGAGATCTGAGCCGTTGGCCACATGGGGCCAGAAGCCGCCCTTGGAGGAGGTCTTTGCCTTTATGGTCAAGCATGATGGAGATGGCTTTGTCTCTCTTTTACATTTTGGATAATTTTAGTTACATACTTCCTGTTTATGAGTAACATTCATCCAGATAATCCTCTGGGTTGTTTCTTATTTTAATAAAAAGGGGTGGAGGACCAGATGCTGTAATGGTTAGGTGGCTGGATTCCCACATGGTTGACCATGGTTCAGGTCCTGGACGTGGTGGCTTGAAACTCATGCCGGCTCCCATACATTGCTATTCAAAGTTCCAAGAGGAGAATGTAGGAGAAGGGATTGTGGCGTGGCCATCGCCTCCCTGCCCCCATGATTTCTGGCTTTCTGTCTTTCTCTGTTTCTCCTGCAAGCACACGAGCCCTATACCAAAAATCTCTCTTAGAAAAAAGGGGTGAGGGATCAGCAGTTAGCGTAATGGTTATGTCGCTGGACTCCCACGTAGTCGACCGCGGTTCGAAGTCCCGAACCCGGTGGCTTAAACTCACACCGGGTGCGTGTGCGCCCAACAGGCTGCAGGAGGAGGTGCTGATCCAGGAGTGGTTCACCCTGGTTAACAAGAAGAATGCCCTTATCCTGAGGCAGGACCAGCTGCAGCTGCTGTGAGTTCTGGTCCCACCAGCCCAGGCTCTGCCCTCAGCCTGCCAGGGCTGGAGCACAGGGAAACTTAGCCGCTTTGGCTAGAGCTATGCACTCCTTTCTTTTTCTTCTTTTTTTTTCCTTAAGGTGTTGCTATATGGCACATGTGCTTGCCAGAGGGATACAGAGAGAGTGAAAAAGAGAGAGGGAAAGTGAAAAATTACTCCCCGGGGTGATGGCCACACTGCAGTCCCTTCTCCTCCATTCTCCTCTCAGGATTTTGGGCACTCAATCACACGAGCCTAGCGTATTTTCCAAGCTGCCAGGTCTGGGATTCAAACTATACACTGGGTCATGTGAGATCTGGCTGCCTTCATCACTTACTGGCCCATGTTTTCTTCTTTCTTTTTCTTTTTAATTTGTCAGAATGTGCATGCACTTGTCAGAGACAGAGACAGAGAGAGAGAGGGAGAAAGTCTCCCCATCGAGGAGCAGGACCTGGAGCGCAGGTTTGAGCTGCTGAGCAGTGGGGAGACTTTCCCCATCCTGTTGGGACTCTGGGGACATAACCGCAATGTGTTTCTCAAGCCACTGGTGAGGATTTGAACTGGGGTCAGCCATGTGGGCTCTAACCACTAGTCCACAGGGCCGGCCTTGCTTTCTTTTTTCTACAAAGATATTTTTGAAAAATTATAGAACCCTTATAAATTTTTTGTCCCATCCAATTTACTATATGAAGTTTATCCTTTTAAATTGGTACTGTTTGTACTGATGAGAAAACCAAGGCCCAGAGCAAAATGTGAGCCAGGAGGGGCAGGGCTGAGTCCCTCCAGTGTGACCCTGTCCCTTTATAGTAAGCAAGACAGGGCCAGGGAGATCTGAGCCGTTGGCCACATGGGGCCAGAAGCCGCCCTTGGAGGAGGTCTTTGCCTTTATGGTCAAGCATGATGGAGATGGCTTTGTCTCTCTTTTACATTTTGGATAATTTTAGTTACATACTTCCTGTTTATGAGTAACATTCATCCAGATAATCCTCTGGGTTGTTTCTTATTTTAATAAAAAGGGGTGGAGGACCAGATGCTGTAATGGTTAGGTGGCTGGATTCCCACATGGTTGACCATGGTTCAGGTCCTGGACGTGGTGGCTTGAAACTCATGCCGGCTCCCATACATTGCTATTCAAAGTTCCAAGAGGAGAATGTAGGAGAAGGGATTGTGGCGTGGCCATCGCCTCCCTGCCCCCATGATTTCTGGCTTTCTGTCTTTCTCTGTTTCTCCTGCAAGCACACGAGCCCTATACCAAAAATCTCTCTTAGAAAAAAGGGGTGAGGGATCAGCAGTTAGCGTAATGGTTATGTCGCTGGACTCCCACGTAGTCGACCGCGGTTCGAAGTCCCGAACCCGGTGGCTTAAACTCACACCGGGTGCGTGTGCGCGTGTGCCCAAGATCCTGAGAGGAGAATGGAGAAGGGATTGCGGCGGGGCCATCCCCCCTGGGGAGGTGGTTTCTGGATTTCTGTCTCTCTGTCTCTCTCTCTGTCTTTCTGGCGAGCACACGCGCCCTATAGCAAAAACCTCTCCAAAAAAAGAATAGAAAAAGGGGGGTGGGTGTGATGGAGGGAGACCACATAAACATCTGCAGTTGTAGGCCAGCTGGAACAAAGGTCATTCCCACTGGGGCCTGGGGCATAGTGCTGAGGTCAGCTGGCCCTCCATGGGAACTGATGGGGAGGTGGGATGGGGCCTCACTTTCCCTGACATCGCTCCCCATCTCCCAGCATCGAGGAGCAGGACCTGGAGCGCAGGTTTGATCTGCTGAGCCGGGAGCTGCGGGCCATGCTGGCCATTGAAGGTGAGGGGGGTGGGGCGGGAGGGGCTGGGAGTGGAAGCAGGAAGAGCAGCTCCTGTTAGAGGAGCTGGTGTCACTGGTGAACCAGCGCGACGAGCTGGTCCGGGACCTGGACCACAAGGAGCGGATGTGAGTGGGGGCTTCTGGCACTGGCACTTGAGGAGGGTCCCGGGGCGCACCACCGTGGAGCACTCAGCGTGGACCCGTGGCGGCCTTTGGGTCGGGCGGGCGGTGGAGCTGACTCGACCCGTTCCCTTCCAGCGCCTTGGAGGAGGACGAGCGCCTGGAGCGCGGCCTGGAGCAGCGGCGCCGCAAGCTGAGCCGGCAGCTGAGCCGGCGCGAACGCTCTGCGCTGAGCTGAGGCCCTCGTCTAGGAGGCTGGAGCTGCCCGGCAGCTTCGCCACTCCCGGCCCGGCCCGCAGCTTTTCTCGCCGCTGGCGCCCGCTCGCCGAGGGCCGGGCCGGGCCTCCCGGAAGCCGTGCGCAGCTGTCAGGCGCGTCACCTGGCGGGGACAGCGCTGGCCTAGGCCCCACCGCGGGGAGGAGTGGACGGCTGTGCCGACAGGGCGTATTTATTTTCCGTATGAGTGTGCGTGCGCGCGTGTGTCCGCGGCGGGCTGTGGGCCCAGGAGCGCCGTGCAGAACCCCTCCCGGACGGCGGGGCCGGAGCGAGCCAGCCAGCCCAGAGACCGAGGCCCGCCGTCCCCCCCATCCCGGTTCCCCAGGAGCAATAAAGTTGGGCAAGGATACACCAGCGCGGTGCTTTCTCAGGATCACTTGAGCCTCGGTAGGAGGAGGAGGGTGGCGCTTGGGCCCATGCGGTGGTCTGGCCATCCTAAATGGGGCTGTGTTGACCTGGAGGTTCCCAGAGGGGAGCTGAGGCTGGACCTGGGCCTTTCAAGGATGGTGGCAGTAGGCAAGTCCCATTTCAAAGATGTGAAAACACGCTTGAGGTTGTTGCTCCATTTTATTTTTTAGTAACACATTATCCCCTGAGGTTCTCACATGCACCCCACCCCACGCCCATCTCCAGATTCTTCTCCAGCCACTCCCGGAGGAAAGGCTTCCTCCGCAGGTTCATTAAAAGAGCTGAACTCGGTCATCCAACACCTGTCAGCAAGCTGGGGCCTGTTCTGAGGCTGGAGCTGTGGGTGGCAGGGTGCCCAGAGCCAGTTCATCCTGACCCAGGATGCCATCCTGGTCCTCAGCAGTCAAAGGGTCGCTAGACCCGAAGAACTTCACCATGGCACGGACCTGCGGGAGCTCTGAGAAGGTCTCCATGGCCAGCAACATGGCTAGGAGCCCTAGGAGCAAGTATCCTGGGGAGAAGAGGGTGCTAGGGTTGCCAGTGATATTCCCCACCCACCTCCCAGCATGGCAACACACCCTGCTCCTGGCGCCACGCACATCTCTTAACTCCACCACCAAGGTACTTTGGACTACAACTCCCACCCAATGCTCTAGGGTCCCTCCACCTGGGAGCCCAGCCTTCCCAGTGGTTTATGGGAGTTGTAGTCCAGGCAGCTCTCCCCTCCTCTTCCCCACACCCTGCTTGGCAGCTGGACTCACCAAGAAGTGCGAGTTGACCAAGGTGGTAAATCACTGGATGCAGACTGCTGCCATGGCTGGGCAGCAAGTCTCCCAGGCCAATGGTGCTGAGGGAGCTGAAGCAGAAGTAGATGGCCTCCAGCAGGCTGCAGTTGTCCTGTAGCCCCCACAGTACCAGTGCTGGCAGCAGCACGAAGGTGCCAGCCACCAGCAGGCCCAGCCCAGCTGCCTGCAGCAGTGCAGCCCTGGCTGGTGCTAGCTGCCAGGGGACCACTACCCAGGCACCTAGGCGGCTGAACATGGGCAGCAGGCAGCGGCGCAGGGTGGCTACGAGCACTAGGGAGGCTGGCAGCCCCAGGGCTGCATAGACCATACAGAAGGCCTTTCCACCTGCTGTTAGTGGGGCCATGTGGCCATAACCTAGGAAAGAAAGACAATGGGCAATAAGTGGCATCCTTGCTGCCGTCCACTTTCCCCATGACCATGGGCAAAAGGCTGCCCTCTGGTGGCCAAAAGGCATAAACTGCTGAGGCCCATGTTCTACCTGGCTCTACTCCTACTTCACTGGGAGCCCTAGGCAAATCTCTTAACCTCTTGGGCCACTCTTTTCTGGAAAAAGAAAGGATTAAAGACGGCAGCCCATGGGGCCAGCAGGTGGCATGGTGGTTAAGGTACTAGAGTCCCACATGGTCGACCACAGTTCAGGTACCAGACCTGGTGGTTTGTTTTCTCTGTCTCTGGTGAGCATGCATACCCTATAGCAAACTTAAATAATGATAATGAATAAAAGAAATAAATAATTTTTAAAAGTAAAGAAGGCAGTCGGATGGGTCTTTGTAACTGTGATCATTCTGAGAATTGTTGTCTTGACTCACAGAGATGCTGTCTCTCTGAGAGATTCCTCAGCTCTTCTACACCCACAGCCAGTAGAGTGTCACCCATTCTTTCATCCCCCCAAGATGTATCGCATCATCCTTTGTGCCACACTCTGTTCTGGGGTCTGAGTCTGCCCAGACCCTGCTCCGTGGTGGGGGAGGCAGGGAAATCAGTCACGCCACCTGCCATGAAGGGGCAGCATGTGTATGACAGAGGGCATGTGAGGCTGGAAAAGCTTGGGCAAGGCAGGGAGCAGAGCGGGGTTCGCTGGGAGGGTGGATCACCTAGTCCACAAGGTGCAAACTCACAATGCCTACAGAGCCAGGTGTGAGACAGGAGGGAGTGCTGGGGCCTGGGGTGAACTGGAGAGGCCTTGTTCTGCTCCAGCCAAAATGTTGCCTAGCAGGGGTGCTGGCTCAGTATGAATAGGTTTCTTCATTTCCCAGAGAAAGATGTCAATTCAAGAAATAGTTACTTTGCAAGACAAAAACAAAACAACACACCAGAGGGCCCAGGGTTTGCTTTTATTTTTCTGGCTGTTTCCTTTGCCAAAAAGCCCTTCATCCTGTATCTCTGTGCTTTCTCACCTTGACTAACTCTCAGCAGGACAGTCTTCCCGAGAAGATGCCCCTCACATCCCTGAGTCGGTGGTCCTGATCCAGCTTTCCATGCCCTTTCTTCCTTTTTTACTTTTTTTTAGAGAGATTTTTGCTATAGGGCTCATGTACTTGCCAGAGAGACAGACAGAAACAGAAAGCGAGAAATCACCCTCCAGGGGTGATGGCCATGCCGCAATCCCTTCTTTCAGGATCTTGGCCATGCACACACATGTCCGGTGTGAATTTTAAGCTGCCTGGTCCGGGACTCGAACCGTGGTTGACCATGTGGGAGTCCAGCAACATAACCATTATGCCATCTACTGGTCCCTTTAAAAAAAAAAAAGAATTTTTTTAAATTTAATTTTATTTATTCATTTATTTATTTTAATTTGACCAGAGAGAGAGACACACACAGAGAGAAAGAGAAGGAAAGTGAGAAAACAAATACCAGGTCCAGGACTTGAACCATGGTTGGCCATGTGGGAGTGTTCAGTGCCTTAACCACCATGCAATCTGCTGGTTCCTCCCCCCTTTTTAAAAGATATTTTTGCATTAGGACATGTGCACTAGCTGGAGAGAGAGACTGAGCTAGTGAGAGGGAAATTGAGAAATCACCCTCGGGGGTTGGCCATGCTGCAATCCCTTCTCCTTCATTCTTCTCCCAGGATCATACGTACATATGCACATGCGTCCAGTGTGATTTTCAAGCCATTGGGTCCAGGACTTGAACCACAGTTGGCTCTGTACGAGTCCAGCAATATAACCACTATACCATCTGCTGGCCCCTGCATTTCATTTCATATTAGTAGCCATCCCACTGTTGGTGTTCCTGTTAGGCCCATGGGGTCTGGGCACCTCTTCTGGGTCTCAAAGGTGCCTGGGGTAGGAAATGAGAAGGCCACACCCCCTCCTGGCAGCCAAAGTGGAGGTACCAGTTGGGGCATGTTGGTTGGGGAGCCCCAGTGGTGATGTCAGGCTTGGTAAGGCCTGGGCTCTGTCTGGGGCGCTGACTTTGGGGATGGGAGGGATGGGGGAAGGGCTGAGACCCCAAGGAGCAATGGTCTCAGGGGCCCATTCCTACCAGATGGCCTGGTGGCCTTACCAGTGGTGGTGAGAATGCTGGCAGTGAAGAGCAGGGCCGAGGGCAAATCCCAGTTCCTGGCCTCTGAGTTGTTGCCCCAGCTGGAGACCCCATGTGCCTGGGCTGCCAGGGCAGCACCTAGCAACTCCTCCAGTGCTCCAGGTGGGAGGCAGGCCCCGTACTCTGCCTGGAAGGTAGCCAGCTCAGCCCTGAGCTCAGCCTGAAGCCGGTGTGCTGGAGGCCCCTCCAGGGCCTGGAGTACCACAGCCCCAAGTCCCAGGGCCAGCAGGTGGGCTACAACCAGGAACCCATATCGGGCCCAGGGCTGTAAACCCCTCATACTGTGCTACTGAAGAGTCTGGGGTGTTGTGGAAGCTGGCTGCTTCACCACAGGCACCTGGGAGGGGCAGGGTGGGGTGGGGCTGGGAGGAGGTGCTGTGTGGGTGGCTGGGGCACAGCGGCAATGAGTGTGAATGAGAGGAGGGTGAGCTGCATCACTCCTCCCAGGTATTTGCTCATTTCAGTGCAGCTGGGACGGTAAGGGTGACTGGGACAGTGAAAGGCTGTGCTGTGGGGTGCATGTCGTCACGCACGCCCTGTCCATTCCAGTGTTTAGGTTCTGAGGACACCAGGGAGGACAGACACAGGCCACTTCTACCTGGTGTTCACACAAGAAACCCATGAACAAAGAAACATGGCAACTTCTGGGGCCAGCAGTTGGAGAAGTGGCTATGTCACTGGACTCCCGTGTAGTCGACTGTGGTTCGAGTCCTGGATGCGGAGGCTTAAAATCATGTTGGGTGCATGTGCATGCGTGCCCAAGATCCGAGAGGAGAATGGAAGAGGAGGGATTGCGGCGTGGCCATCCCCCTGGGGGGTGATTTCTCGCTGTCTCTCTGTCTCTTTGGCGAGAGCATGCACCCTATAACAAAAACCTCTCAAAAAAAAAAAAAAATGGCAACTTCACACTGTCCTAAGTTCCATGGAGGAGATGCCCTGGGTAGGGGGGGTGATCCCTGAGGGGAGAGGATCTCACAGGGAGAGCTCCTGGGCGGAGGTGATATTTCAGGTGGTGAATGAGGCTAGGCATGGTGGGAAAGCTGAACAGGGGCCTGACCACAGCAGGAGTCAGGGGAGGGCAGACAAGGACACAGGTTCTTGACACGTGTGACCTGGGAGACCTACAAGGAGGCTGCTGCAGTCATTTCGGATGGAGCGAATTTGGCCTGGGCATGGAGAGCGAACGATGGGATTCGGGATGGATCAGGTCAGGGCAGGGTTAAGGAGGTGAGGACTAAGGATGCTTTCATGCCTCAGTTCCCAGTCCTTCCTGGGACCCTCTGTGCCCACCCTCTGACTCCCTGCCCTGCAGAACCACAGACACAGTCTGGTGCCAGGAAGTCCTGGGCGGTGGGAAGAGCAGAGGGGGAGGAGCCTAGCTAGGCCTCCCATAAACCTTGGAGGGGCTGAGCTCAAGGTCCAGGGACCTTGCCATAGGACACAGTGGGAGCGGTCAAACACCCAAGGCAGTGTTGAGCATCGGCAGTGATACCAGGAGGCAGGGAGAGCACCATGCTGGGAGGTGGGTGGAACTTCTATGTGATGTGTCCAGACCATGGAATAGACTAGCCCAGGGCAAAACCTCGAGGTGCTGCCCAGAGGGCTGCGTGCTCCTAAGTTCAGAGATCTGGTGGTGGGCAGCATTGCCAGGGAAGGTACCAAGGAGACAGAGGATAAGCAGGGACCACCTAGCACCAGAAATCAGTGAACAGTCACTTGAATGGTGGGACTGGTTTGTGCCAAAACATGGAATCAAAGTCCTGGCAAGGGTGGGAGGCGGGGCAAGATCAGTACGTGTGGGTGTCAGGGAAGCCAAGGGCCCCAAATGACTGACCAAGACTAGCAGACTTGATCAACTGCCCATTGTGCTGGGGCATGAAGACACCAGGGTCACATGATAGGCTGGGTGTCTGGGTTCTCTGAGAAAGGTGACAGGCTGCAACCAAGGAGACAGCTTCCAAGTTTATTTGGCTTCATTAGATCCCGAGGCTAAGGCCCCAACCCTGGCCAGGGTGGCAGGAAGGTACCCAGAGAGCCCCAGCCCCAGATGACTCCCAGGGCCAGGGGATCTAGGCAGTAAGTCCTGGGGCAGGGGCCACAGTAGCAGAACTTGGTCAAAAGTGCTGGTGACAGCTGAGGCTGGCCCCTCTCCCCTGCACCTCCCCTCCTCCCTGCACCAGCCCTGGGGGGCAATTCCCTGAGACAGGCTCTGGTCCTCCCAACCAGCTGGGTACAGTGTCAGGCCCCATGGGGGCAGGGAAGTCGGGGGGACCTACAGGTTGGAGGTGTGGAGTGCAGGCCCCCTCATCCAGTGTGAAGGCTTCCTGTGCAGTGTAGTGTTCCTGACCCCCAAAGGGGGTGGGATCCCTGGGGGAAACCAAGGCAGCTAGAGGCTTGCCCAGCTTCTGTTCCAGTGTATGCTGTGGCTCTAAGGCAGCTGGAGCATGGGGGGAGTGGCCTGGCCCTCAAGGCCCTGCCTCTGGTGCCCATGGGGCCTGGGCACCTATGTCTTTGGTCTGCACCCTGCAGTCCTGGGGGGGCCCCTGGAAGGGGTTGGCAGGTGGGGAGTCCCAGAAAGGGTCTGAGTCTGGGAATAAGGTCCAGGGTGCCCGGCGGGGCGCAGGCTGTGGTGAAGGCAGAGGTGAGGGCCGTGGCCCGGCTGACACGAAGCTCCATGGGTCGATGCGGTTGCGAAGGGGTGAGGGCCGAGGTCTGCTGATGAGGCCCAGGGGTGGTGAGCGAGGGGTGCCTGGGGTGCCGGGAGCGGAGCGTGATACCCCTGGCGGGGGTGAGACAGTGCCACCTATGAGGGTGTGGGAGGGGCACAAGATCAGGCATTAACTCCTGGATGTCCGGGGGGGCACTGCTCTGCTCCAGGCCTCGGTCTCCCATCTACACAGTGAGCTACCTGGCTCAGCACTTCCGCAGCAGTGCTTTTCGCTCAGCGGTGCATCTGTGTATGCTGCGGGGTTAAGGGGGAGACCCAGAGCGGGCTAGCCTGGGCTTGGATCCCAGCCCCACCACCTACTAGCTGTGAGAGCTGAACCTCTTAATCTGCCTGCTTAAATTTCCCTACCTAGAGACCAGCAGTTAGCGTAATGGCTATGTCGCTGGACTCCCATGTAGTCGACAGCGGTTTGAGTCCCGGACCCGGTGGCTTAAACTCACACCGGGCGCGTGTGCTTGTGTGCCCAAGATCCCGAGAGGAGAATGGAGGAGAAAGGATTGCGGCATGACCATCCCCCTGGGGGGTGATTTCTCGCTTTCTGTCTCTCTGTCTCTCTCTGTCTGGTGAGTGCACACGCCCTATAGCAAAAACCTCTCAAAAACAGAAGAAAAAAAAAATTCCCTACCTAAAAGCCAGGTTATCAGGAGTACTTAGTTTACAGGTTATGATAATGAATTAAATGAGATGATTTCTCTAAGGCACTGAAATAATACCCAGCACAAGTAACCTACCAGTAACGACTTGTTATTGGTAGTCATTGTTATTTCTATTATTTCACAACTGGCTTAATTAGCCCTGGACCACTGGGTGGCTGGACTTAGAACTCAGCTTCCTACGTTGGTCCACAGAGCCCTGAGGGCCTGGTTCTAGGTCTCTCAGAAAGTTGTGACCCCAGCCATGCCTCCCTACATGTCCCTACTAGCTGGTCCTCCCTTTTGGCGGCCCCCCCCCTCAGCATCACCCAATAGGCCGGCCTCATGCCACTCACCGCGCGTCTCTTCCTCTCGCCGGGGGCTCTTGGCTGACGGCTGTCCTGCGGGGCTACCCAGGTCCAGCAGCAGGGGTGCATGGGTGAGCGGGACACGGGCATCAGGGGTCTTGGGTGTCAAGTGGATCAGTGGAGAGGGAGCTGGCTCGGCTGGACATGGCGTGGGCACTGGAGCGGGGGGTGTCGGTGGGGGCTCCCCCCGCTCGCGGCTCAGGCCCACTGGAGGCTGCAGGTCGCGACCTAGGCCCAGTGAGGCGAGCAGGGCAGTGCCACGCAGCAGTGCACGCTGGATCAGCTTGGGCGTTCCGGAGCTGCTACCACCTCGCTCTGCTGGGCCTGGCCGCCGTGGCTCCTCGGGCTCTGGGTTGGGTCTTGGGGGGTCGCCTGTGGGCAGGGCCACAGAGTTAGGCTGTGGCTGCGGCATTTTCTGGGTGAGGGCCCCAGGGTCTCCTCAGTAGCCTTGGAACAAGGACTGAGTTCTACTCCCACCGTCACCTGCCCTAGCTCCACTGATGCCCCAGGTCAGCTCTCCTTGCCAACCTGTGCCTTCCCCATCTGGAACATTCCAGCTTTTCACAAGATGGGGGAGGAGGGTGGCAGTGCAGGAGCCTTGGAGCCCAGATGTGGCAGGAGGGGTGTCTAAGAGGAGGCAGGGACAGAACAGATCACAGTGGGCCTTGGTGGCCTCAATGGCCCAGCCAGCCAGGGGCAACCTCCACAGGCCCGGGTTGGGACTGGTTCCACTGACTGGGACCTGTCCCTTGTGCTCTGTGCACACCCTCTTACTGGCTTGTCAGCCCAGGCCCTTCTACACCCCTCTGCCCCTGTCCCCACTCCAGCGGTAACGTGTGGAACACATGGATCAGCTCCCGTGTGTACAACAGCCCCGAGAGGCACACATCTGTCCCCATCCCAGAAATGGAAACAGGCTCAGAGACGTCAGTGGCTTGCCTGTCATGGTGTGCCTGTGACTTACAGGCCTTGCGCTCTGATCCTCACGCCTCAGGGGCTTCCAGGCTCAAAGAGGTTAAGGGATCGTCTAAGGCTGCACAGCCAGCGAGGTGGGGAGCCAGCCTCACCCTGCAGGGGCAGCACTTCCTAGTCAGAGTCTACTCCAGGTTTCCAGGGGCAGCGTCCTGCCTGCATGCTTAGGGTTGGTCTGACCCCATCCTAGACCTCCTGGGATAAGGGGACTCATGTCAAGGAGGGGTTCGGGGAGTCTAGGATGGGTTCTGATTTGGTCAGATCTCTCCTTGGCTCTAGATCCTGCCATGGCTGTCCATTACCACAGAAGAAAGTTCAGCCTCCTTGGCCCTTCAAAGCCTTTCTGGATCTTGCTCCCTCCACCTTTCCCCTCCTTCTTGGCTAGGCACAGAGTGGGCCTGCCTGGGTGGAGAACAGGGTGTCAGGAGGAAGAAATGAGAAGTTCGGAAAAGAGTTTCTGTGGACCAGAATTTGGCTCCAAGTCCCATCTCAGCTACAACCCTAACCCAGTCTGTCCCTTATTTCTCCATCCCACCCCACCCTTGGACCCTGCCACTAAAGACCCAAGGGAATCCTAGAATGCAAACTGGCTAAAGGCAGTTTCTGCTTCAAAATGTATCATTTCCAGTTTCGTTCACTTAGTCACTCAACAAACATCTACCGAACCATGTGCGTGTGTGTGTGTGTGTGTGTGTGTGTGTGTGTGTGTGCGAGCCTGAGCTCTGCCTGCTGCCTCAGTCCTGAGAACTCCCTTGACTCTTCTGAGTCCAGCCAAGTTTCCTCTTCACTGAATGAGCCCCACACTGGGTGCACACATTACTCCTTCTGCCCTGCACACCATCCCCACCTCAGCTTTTAACAACCTCTTATTCACCATTTAAGACCCAGCTGTTACCTCTTCCGTGAAGCCTTCCCAGAATCACTCTGAACCTGTGTAGAAACTGCTCGCATTATGCATCGGATAGCCCTGGATCCCAACACTTACTAATCTCCACTCGTTTGAGTCAGCCTCCTCCCCCGATGTCCTCTACTGGCCGTCCCTGAGGTAGGAGGTGCTCTCCAGCGCACTGATGCCTGGCTCATGAAATGCATCTAGGTCCAGCCATGGTGGCACCAGCAGCAGGGAGCCACTTCATGATGGCTGGGGCCACACAGGAGGCTTGGATTTGGTTCTGGTCCAACCTAAACAGGCCAGGTGTGATGGCTCATGCCTGCGGTCCTGGCTAACTGGGAGGCTGAGGCAAGAAGATTCATGAGGCGGTGAGACACTGTCAAAAATTCTTTTCTCTGAGCCAGCTGGTGGTGTGGAGGTTAAGGCACCAGATCCCACATGGCTGACTGTGCAGTTCGAGTCCCAGACCCAGCAGCTTGAAAATGACACCAAGTGTATGTACGCGTGTGCCCAAAATCCCAAGAGGAGACTGAAGTGATTGCAGCATGGACATCTCCCCAGGGGATGATTTCTCACTTTCCTTCTCTCTCTCTGGCAAATACACATGCCCGATAGCAAAACCAAAACCAAACGAAAGCCCTCTCTTCCTCTTTCTGCAAGGCTGACCCACATGGGAGGTCCCAGGTTTGTGTGTCTGGAGATCTCCCTGAGTACTCCAGGCACGAGACACCAGGTATGAGTGCCCCACTATATTATATGCAGAGGAAGCATACATCTGCTAGAGAGAGAGAAAGGAAAAGAGAGAACGCGCCTCTCATGGGGCATGGCCACACTGCAATCCCTTCTCCTCCATCTCTGCCTCCTTTAGGGAGCTCAGGCACAGCTGTCTAGTATGTTTCTCAACTGGGACTTGGAACTGTGTAGTCGGCCACGTGAGATCTAACTGCCTTAACCATCACACCACTGGCTGGCCCTCAGCTATGTTTTTTTTTTTTTTTTAAGATTTTTGCCATAGGGCATGGGCACTTACTGGAGACACACCAACAGAGATAGTGAAAGAGAGAAAGAGAGAGAGGAAAAGTGAGAAATCATTCCCCAAGGAGGATGGCCATGCCACAGTCCCTTCTCCATTCTCCTCTCGGGATATTGGGCATGCACGCACACATGCCCCACATTTTTTTCGAGCCACCGAGTCTGGTATTTGAACCACACAGTCAGCCATGTGGGATCCAGTGCCTTAACCACCACGCCACCTACTAGCCTCTAGGATTTTAATTTGCTTCTCAGTTTCCAGGTAGTAAGAGTTGGAGCTCAGGGAGGGCGTGGCCAAAGGGCTCAGTAGAACATGGTTGGGAGCTGCTTCATCTTACACCCCTGGGTTCACTGGACCTCAAGGTCTCCATGACTCTTTGGGCCTGGTACATTCTAGAAGGGTGAATCCAAGCAGCCCTGCCCCACTTTCAATTCTCAGTTCAGTCCCAGCAGTATAGCCAGCCTGGAGCAACACAATTGCTGGATCAGAAAATGCTACCACAGACAGGAGTCCATGGCCCTGCCTCTGGAGTCAAACAGACCTGGGTTCAAAGCCCTGTTCGGCTGGGTGTCCTACACCAAACCACTTAACCTCTCTGTGCCTCAGTTTTCTCCTCTATGAAGTAGAGCTAATGATAATACCCCACCTCACAGATTGCCTGCGACCCAATAAATGTTATTGCAGCTCAAGTAGTGGTGGGGTGGGAGGAGAGTCTTGAGTGTTTGCTGATCAGGACGCTGGTCTGAAAGCAGCTAAGCCAGATCCAGCACCTGCATTTGGGCTGTGAGCAGCAGATAAGGCTGGGGGTTCTAAAGATGGTTTTTGGGTTGCACAGGAGCCCACAGGCAAGGAAGACCACCAGTTTCTAGCCCCTGCCAACGCTGGGCAGTGCTGAGCTGAGCCCCCACCCCTCTGTTGCCAGAGCCCTGCTCTCTGTCCCACCCTCTAGCTTCCTAAGCAGTTTGTGCGTGAGAGTTTCAGAGGAAGCTTGCTATGAGTGTGGCAGCCGAAGACTCTCTGGGTTCGAATCCTTAGCTTGGGGGTTTAGGCAGGTAATTTCACTTCTCAGGGCCTCGGTTTCCTTTCTGTGAAACAGAGATGATAATAGCACCTTCCACACAGTCATTGCTGGGATGAGATGTCTGGGTGTTGCTGTTGTGGAGAATATACAAACCCTGAACTGCCCGGTAGAGTGTGAACGAGCCCTGCCTGCTCAGCTTCTTATCCTCTCTCCACCTTTGACTCTCAGAAGGGGCCCCGAGAAGCCCAGGGTGGCAGTCACTTGTCTGCCCCCACTCCACAAGGGCAGTTTTCCTCTTCCCTTTGGGCTCAGCTTCCCTCGGGTACCATTCCCTGCTTCCTTTTCTCCTTAGAGCCTACTGAGGGCACCGGGGCTGCCCTAGGGCCAGGAAAGAGCCTTGAAGCTTATAGATCAGACCTGCGTTCCAGGACACGCTCTGTCCTGTCTCAGTCTCAGCATCCTAGTCTCTGGAATGAGCTTTCAGAGCAGGATTTCTGCTGGCTTCTCATGGTCTCCCCAGTGCCTGCAGAAGCAGATCACCAAGATCCCACTAGGGGAGGCATGGCCACTCACCATTGAGTGTTGGGGGTGTGGAAGGAGATCCTAGGGGGGATGAATCATCTGAGTCCAGGTACCACGTGGCTTCGTCCATGCGGGACCGTCTCCTGATGAGAGGAAGGAGTGCGTTTGTGAATCTCAGGATGTGGAGAGGGAGGTAATGCTGGGCTGGGGACACTTCAGCACTCACCTCCCATTCTGGGCTTCTCCAGGCTTGGGGGAACTGGGACCCCAGGCCCAGCATGCTCGCCTCTCTCCATTGCTCGAGTCCTCCAGACGTCGGGGGGATTGGCGGCCCCATGCCTGGCCCTGCTCAGCAGGCTCCACTGTAGGGGAAGACCGTTGGTGCCAACGCTTGTCTTCTCATCATAACAGTCAGGCTTCAGGGCAGTTCTTTAAGGACTGGGAACAGGCTGGGCCCCATCCACTCCCAGGGTGGGCTTCGGGTGAGATAGGTAGCTTTGGGTCTGGGCTCCAGCAGCGGGGCAGGGCATCTCAAGTAGTCTTTCAGCAGATATTTGCTGCTTAGTAATTAGTACAGAAAGTGACACCAACTACCTGGGTCTGAATTCGGGCTCTGCCACCTTTTAGCTGTGTGGTAAGTTACTTTTTTTTACTTTTCTCGTCTATAAAACTTCAATAACAGAATTACTGAATTACCTATTAGAATTATTGCAAGGAGTTAAAATTAGCAAAAGATTTAGAAAAATGAGTAACACTGCTATCATCCAATTGTGTGACTAAAAAGTATGTCTTGGGGAACTCAGAGGTAAAAGTCTGAATTGATGAGGACAAAGCCTGGGGGGGGATCCACTGCCAAGGATAAAGAGGATCCCAGGACCAGGGGCTAGGGGAAAGGGCATGGTTAGGTTTCTTACACTGGATGGCCCGGAACCGAGGGAAGGTGGGCGAGTCCCCAGCCCCAACCTCGAAGACGTTTCTCCTCCGGTCAAGGCCTGGTGAGGCTTGCACGGTGATGCGGTGCTTGAAGTCTGAGGTTTGGGTAGGGGGGAGCAGGGTGAAGATTTGTGGTGGAGAGCCAGGACCCCCAACCCGCAGGTGCCCTCAGCTGGTTCCCAGGCCACACATGCAATGGGACTGACTTTTACTGGGACTGGCCTGACTGCCTTCCCTGGTTCCAGGCTGGTCTCCACCAGAGAAGCGCCAAGAAGTCAAAATTCCCAGTCTCCGGCTCGCCCCGCCTCCTAGGCCTTTCCCAAATTTTCCTAGACCACGCCGTGCCCCGCCCCTTTCCAATTGCAGCCACTTTCAGGATGACGCGAAACTACCAGAGCCCGCCCAGTCAGAAAAAAACACTCCCGGTCCTACCCGTTCCAGCCATCAGTTCCTGAGTTCGCCAATCAATGCCGTAAACCAATCCCAGTGCAGCTATCCTGACACCGCCCCTCCGCCAATGAGCTTCACAGCCCCGCCCCTTTGCGCCTGCAGCCAACGGCAGGCGTTGCGCTGGGCCCCACCCCTTACCGAGTGGCATGCTGATGCGCTCCCCGCCGTCCCGGGCCCGGGGCTTGCTGCGCTTGCAGGGGGGACGTGCGGCCGCTCGCGGTCCACCTGCTGCAGCAGCAACGTTAGCTCGCGCTCAAACACCTCTAGCTCCCACTGGGCTAACAGGTGCTCCCGCCGCCGCAGTTGCTCTGCTTGTGACCTCTGCTCGCGCGCCGCGCGCGTCAGCTCTTCTTCGCGGCTCAGTAGTTCCTGCATCCAGGATAGTGAAGGCGGTAGGTGCAGCCTGGCACCAGCCCTGGCGCCTAACCCCCACTCTCTCCCTCGGAGACCAGGCAGACACTCCTCCCAACCCAGAATCCCCGACTCACCTTTTCCTTTGCCCGCAGCTCGTCAAAGAGGCCCTGGATCTCACGTTTCCAGCCTTCCTGCATGGAATGGAAGGAGTCCCGCGGCATTTCCCGCAAGACCTGTGCCTCTAGTGCCTCCAGCTGCTGCAGGATGGAAGCGAAGTCGGGCCTGCGGTGGGGGTCCTGTGCCCAGCAATCTAGAGGCATGGCAAGGAGCGAGGACAGAATAAGAAGGGGATCTGTATGTGGATGTGTTCTGGACCAGAAAACTCTACCCCTCAGCCACCCACCTGTCCTCTTACCGGCCATGAGTTGTGCAAAGGGCTCTGGGCATGTGGATGGGATGGGCAGTGTCAGCTTGTTAACAGCCACACCATAGGCCACAGCAAGGCAGTCGATGCCACGGTAGGGTACCTCCCCAGTCAGTAGTTCCCATAGTAGCACCCCAAAGCTGTAGTGAGACAAAGGATCTGTGTCCCCTCCTCTGCCCACTCATTGCCACTTCATTCCAAAACAACCAAGTACTAAATGGTCCCTTCCCCTGGGCTTGGCTTAGTTGGTCAGTAGCCTTAGGCAGTCATCTCTGGCCCTCTGTAGCCCGTCAGTCCCCACCTAGTCAGTCCCCACCTAGGCCGCACCTCCAGACATCGCTGCCCTTAGAGAAGGTGGAGGCCTTGATAACCTCAGGAGCCATCCAGGCGTAAGTGCCTGCAGCACTCATTTGCGTGGTTTTGTGCCATTCTCGGGCCAGGCCAAAGTCAGTGATCTTCAGGGTCTTGTGCTCCATGTCATCACCCTCGATGGGCTGTAGCAGCAGAACTGGGGAGAAGAGGGACAGAGTCGTGGGTGTTCCAGGATCAAGGTGTAGGGATAGGGGAAGACTGGGAGCAAACCTTCCTCTGACAGACATCCTGGCTGGGGTCTAAATCTTGCCCTGGAGAGCTCACAGCTGGCGGTGGGTGGATCAGACAGAAATAGCAATGCTGGTGGGCCAGGCCCATAGTGCAGTGGTTACGTGCCCTACATAGAACAATGGATCCCACACACCTCACCATGGTTTAAATCCTGCCCTGTGGGTTGCTTAGTGGTTAAGGTGCTGGACTCCCACATGATTGACTGCGGTTTGAGTCCAGGAACTGGAGGCTTGAAACTCACACCAAGTGCATTTGCATGTGTGCCCCAAATCCCAAGAGAACAGAGGAAAAGGAATCGCAACACGGCCATCCCCGCCCCACTGGGGAAGGAGGAGTGATTTCTTGCTTTTTGTCTCTCCAGCAAGTGCATATGCCCTATAGCAAAAGTCTCTACAAATACATGAATAAATCCTGTTCCAGAAGCTTGACAACACCAGTTGCAGATTCATGTCCCGAATCCTGAAGGCATAGAGAAATGGAGGAGAAAGGATTGGGTGTGACCATGGACCACTAGGGCATGCTTTCTCTCTCACATTCTCTCTTTCTAGCTAGTGTATGTGTCCTCTGGTAATTAAAAAAAAATACAAAGACAGTGGCCAGCAAGTGGCATAGTGGTTACATCACTGGACTCCCATATGGCCAATTGTGGTTCCAGTCCTGGATCTGGTGACTTGATAATAAAGCCAAGTGCATGTGCATGAGTGCCTAAGATGCCAGGAAGAGAATGGAGAAAGGATTTTGGCATGGCCATGGGGTGACTTTCTATCTCACTGTCTTTGCCATCTCCCACCATAAACACACATGCTTTATGACAAAAACCTCTAAAAACAAAAAAAAAGGGAGAGAGAAAAGCCAATTATTGTATACATTTACAGAGGGTCTACTACAGGTCAGAATTAAAAAAAAAAAATTATTTAACTTTATTTATTTATTTAATCTGACCAGAGAGGGACAGAGTGAGAGAGAGAGGGAAAGTGAGAAAGCAAACTACCAGATCCAGGACTCGAACCACAGTCAACAATGAAGGAGTCCAGCAACCTTAACCACCATGCCACCTGCCGGCCCCCATTTTTTTTTAAGAGAGAGATTTTTGCTATTGGGTGTGTGTGCTCACTAGAAAGACAGAAAGTGAGGAATCACTACCTGAGAGGATGGCCATGCCACAATCCCTTCTCCTCCACTGGAATTTTCTTTTCCTCTTGGGATTTTGGGCACGTACACTTGAACCACAGTCAACTATGTAGAAGTCTAGTGACATGACCATTACACCATTTGCTGGTCTGAGGCCAGGCATTTTATAATCAGCTTTTGCGTTTAAAAATCTATGAGGTAGGGGACCAACAGCGTAATGGCTATGTCGCTGGACTCCCACATAGTCGACCGCGGTTCGCGTCCCGGGTGTGGTGGCTTAAAACTCACGCCGGGCGTGTGTGCTGGCGTGCCCAAGATCCCAAGAGGAGAATGGAGGAGAAGGGATTGCGGCGTGGCCATCCCCTCGGGGGGTGATTTCTTGCTTTCTGTCTCTGTCTCTCTCTCTCTGTCTGGCGAGCGCATGCACCCTATAGCAAAAACCTCTCCAAAAAAATAAAAAATCTATGAGGTAGGGGCCAGCAGATGGTGTAGCAGTTATGTCACTGGACTCACATATAACTGACAGCAGTTTGAGTCCCAGACCCAGTAACTTGAAAATCATGCTGGGTACATGTGCATACATGCCCAAGATCCTGGGAAGAGAAGGGATTGTGGCATGGCCATCCTCTCAAGGGATATTTTCTCACTTTTCTTCTTACTGTCTTTTCTCCCCACCCCACCCCTGCAAGTACATGTGCCCTAAGGCATAAACCTCTAAACATATAAAACAAAAAAATCTATGAGGTAGATATTACTACTGTCATTTTACAGATGGGGAAACTGAGCAGGGGAATGACTTGGCCATCATATAGCAAATAAAGCAAAGATTCCAACCAGTCTGTGCGGCTCCAGGGCCAGCGCTCTAACTTTTCCCTAATGCTGCACTGAATAGAAACTGGCAGTGTGGCAGGCTCTCAGCATTCGTGGCTTTGATTTCAATAAAGATCCATTTTACTGAAGCAAGAGTGAATCTGAACACTCCTCGGTGGCGAGGAGGAGGGAAGCCCTTGGTGAGGAAGGAAGCCTCGCTCGCACCACAGGCCCCCATGTCACCATCACACCTGGCCTAGGTAGCCCCTCCCAGCAGAAGGACCCCAGAAGAGAGAGACTGATGTAGGTGCCTATGGAGAGAATGGGATAAATTGAAGACAATGATGGTTTTTGGCCACAGGCCCGAGGCAATAGTCAGACTGGGCAGGGGTTCATGGCTTTGACCCAAGGGGGCCACCATACTCTGCACAAAGAGGAGAAGCAGCACCTTGCCAGTCTCTCAGGGGGTAAAAAAATGGCTCAAGTGAAAGTTTTTTATTAGGGGGCTGGCAGGTGGCATGGTGGTTAAGGGCACTGGACTCCCGCATGACTGACCACGGTTTGGGTCCTGGACTTGGTGGCTTGCTTCTCATTTTCCCTCTCTCGCTCTCTCTTTTTCTCTCACTCTGTCCCTCTCTGGTCAAATAAAATAATAAAGTTAAATTAAAAAATAATTCTTAAAAGAAAGTTTTAAATTTTTTTTAAAGATTTTTGCTATAGGGTACATGTGCTCACCAGAGAGATAGTGAGAAAGTGAGAAATCAGCCCCCAGTGGGGATGGCCACACTGTAATCCCTTCTCCTCCTTTCTTCTTGCAGGATTTGTAGAGAAAGAGAAAGGTGACAAAGTTACAGAATCATCAGGGTCTGAAAGGTTCCCGTGCTTTTCTGGTTATAGCCAACTGTGTTGTAGAGGCGAAGTGAATTTGAACCTGGTGTTTCTGAATGTGCATCAGAGCGCATCTCTCCGCTCCCCTGGACATTCTGACAGCACAGTAATTAGGGCAGCATAGGGTATGGGGCTTGAAGAGGAAAGGGCACTTAACATGGCCTGGTGCGCATAGGGTATGGGGCTTGAAGAAGAGGAAAGGGCACTTAACATGGCCTGGTGAGTTACAGAAGACTTCTCAGAGGAGGTGGCAGAACTGGGTGTTCACTTTTTTTTTTAAGGGAATATGGAATTTAAAAAAATTATTTTATTTAACTTTATTTATTTATTTTAATTGCCAGAGAGAGACAGAGTGAGCGAGTGAGAGAGAAAGTGAGAAAGCAAGCTGCCATGTCTGGGACTCAAACCGCAGTAGGCCATATGGTAGCACAGCGTCCTGGACCAGCACGTCGCCTGCCACCCCCTGGGATGTTCACTTTTGAGAATCTCAAGCTATAACCTCAGATCCAGCTGCTTCCCTCATGGAGACATGTGACACTCCTGGCCAATCCCTCTCTGCTGTCTTTGGCTCCAGGAGGCTCTGGCTGTTTGTTTGGTTCTGTCTCTTAAAGGGTCCCCGTCCCCACTCTCAGAGGTTAGCCTCTTTTCAGACTCTGCCCACCACCCCTGGCTGTCTCAGCCTCTCTCAGGTGCCAGCTTTCCCTGCCCCACTGGCATCTTCCACATTTGGAGTTCTAGACCAGGCAGAATCGCCTCAGCTTTCCACCTTGATCTTAGGTCTACAAGCCTTCCCAAACTGCCTTTCTCATCCTGTGCTTGGCAAACTTCCCTGCAGTTTCTCCTCACTCAGTGGTCTCAAAATCCACCCAACCTGGGGCCGGCAAGTGGCGTGGTGGTTAAGGACGCTGGACTCCCATGTAGCTGACCGTGACTGAGTTCTGGACCTGGCGGCTTACTTTCTCACTTTCTCTCTCTGTCACCAAAATAAGCAAATAAATAGAGTTAAATAAAAATAATAATTATTTTTAAGAATTATTTTATTTAACTTTATTATTCTTATTAATTTTCAGTTTGATCAGAGAGAATAGAGAGAGGGAAAGTGAGAAAGCAAGCCACTAGGTCCAGGACTTGAACTGTGGTTGGCCATGTGGGAGTCCAGCATCTTGAACCACCACACCACCTGCCGGCCCCAATAAAAATAATTATTAAAAAAAAAAAAGTTCTTGTACCCAACAGTTGGCATAATGGCTATGTCACTGGACTCCCATGTAGTCGATTGTGGTTTGAGTCCTGGACCTGGTGGCTTAAACTCATGCCAGATGCGTGTGCGAGCGTGCCCAAGATCCCGAGAGGAGAATGGAGGAAAGAGATTGTGGTGTGGTCATCCCCCCCGGTGGGTGATTTCTCACTTTCTGTCTCTCTCTGTCTTTCTGGCGAGTTGCACATACCCTATCGCCAAAACAAAAACAAAAACAAAACCTCTCCCAAAATGAAAGAAAAATAAATAAAGTTCTCATCTTTAAAAAAAAAAAAAAAATCCCGGGAACCAGCAGTTAGTGTAATGGCTATGTCGCTGGACTCCCACGTAGTCGACCGTGGTTCACGTCCCGGACCCGCGTGACCATCCCCCCTGGGGGGTGATTTCTCGCTTTCTGTCTCTCTGTCTCTCTCTGTCTGTCTGGCGAGGGCACACGCTGTATAGCGAAAATCTCTCCAAAAAAAAAAAAAAAAATCCCCCCAACTCTCCTGAGCCAGGCTGGGGCTGAGTCCTGACCAGTTAATGAAGCTTAGGATGACAATAAAACTCACTTCAGAAGGTTATCACAGGGAACCAGCAGTTAGCGTAATGGCTATGTCGCTGGACTCCGACGTAGTCGACCGCGGTTCGTGTCCCGGACCCGGTGGCTTAAAACTCACGCCGGGCACGTGTGCGTGCGTGCCCAAGATCCCGAGAGGAGAATGGAGGAGAAGGGATTGCGGCGTGACCATCCCCCCTGGGGGGTGATTTCTCGCTTTCTATCTCTCTGTCTCTCTCTGTCTGTCTGGCGAGCGCACGCGCCCTACAGTGAAAATCTCTCTCTCTCAAAAAAAAAAAAAAAAAAAAAAAAGAGTGTGTTTTTTTTTTATTTTTTTGGAAAACCTTTTTTTTTTTTTTTTTTTTTTTAAATCTTCCTATTGGGCTGTGTGCTCCTTGGAATGAGACAGAGAGAAAGTGAGAAATCAAGCCCTGGGGGGATGGCCACACTGCAATCCCTTCTATTCTCCTCCTGGAATTTTTTTTAAGAATTATTTTATTTAACTTTATTTATTTTAGTTTGACTAGAGAGGGACAGAGTGAGAGAGAGAGGGAAAGCGAAAAAGCAAGCTGCCAGGTCCAGGACTCAAACCCTAGTTGACCATGTGGGAATCCAGTGTCCTTATCCACCACCACCTTCTGGTCCCTCCTCTTGGAATTTTGGGCATGCACGTATACACTCCCTGCGTCTTTTTCAAGCCACTGGGGCTGAGTATTCAAACCGTGCAGTAGGCTATGTGTGATCCAGCTGCCTTAACCACTATGCCACCTGGTGACTCATTTTAAAAAAGGTTGCCTATGTCTTCTACGAAAGAAAAGACAGAGAAACAGTCCCCTCCCCCACCCACACACATACAGGGTCCTACCGTGACCTACTCCAGCCCAGATCTGGGGCATGCTCACTGAGGCCCCAGGACAGGAACTTAAAACCTTTCCTACATGGGGCCAGCTGCCACCACGTGGCCAAACATCACGAATGTTAGCCTCTGCACAGATCTGACACGTAACAGGAGTGTTTTACAGGCCGGCCGTCCTGAAGTTTCGGTTGTTCGCATCTCTCATGCCCAGCCTCTCCTTTCCTTCCTAAATTGCTCCTTCCTTCCAACTTCACATCAGCTTCTGGTCTGGCTACTGAAGGCTTGGTACTCCTTAGCAAGCTCATTCCAAAGAGCAGTGCAAAAGGCTGGGGTAGGTGGGTGGAATGGGAACAGGTGCCTCCTCTGGGGCCAGGGCCCACCTCTCCTATTGAAGACCAACCCTTGCTGCTTTCTGGCCTGGTCTCTAGATGCTGTTTCCCCATAGACTGGCAAAGTACTTCCTGTCCCAGTATCTCAGGCTGGGAGCCAGTTGGGGTATCTGAGGCCCAGAGAGGGGCAGCAACTTACCCAAAGTCTCAGGATTTCTTTCTTTCTTTCTTTTTTTTTTTTTGCTATAGGGTGCATGTGCTCTCCAGAAAGACAGAGACAGAAACAAAAAGCCACAATCCCTTCTTCTCCATTCTCCTCTCAGGATCTTGGGCACGCACACGTGCCCGGTGTGAGTTTAAGCCACCGGGTCCAGGACTTGAACTGCAGTTGGCTACATGGGAGTCCAGTGACATAGCCATTACACCAACTGCTGGTCCCAATAGGATTTCTTTTCACTTATGACCATTCTGCTATCTTCCCACCCTTAATTGACACCTACAAAGCCTCTTCCTCACCTTTGTGTCCCGTTTTTCTCCAAGCTGAGTTGCTGTCTATTTGAGCCTTGAACCTGTCCCAACCCAAGTTGTTCTGATATCTGACATACGCCAGGCCTCGGCAGTCACGGCACACCAAGAGGAGAAAGAAGCTAGAGACTCCAAGGCTGGAGCAAGCCTCTCAGGTCCCCCTCCTCTACTTTGGGTTCCCTGGCTGTCTGGCAGAGAACAGTCACCAGTACCCTTCCTGGGCTGGCCTGCAGGGTTCAGGAATGGTTGAGGCAGCTCCTACCTCTTCCGCTTCCCTCTTATGGTCCCTACTTCTCCTTTTTGAGAAGCCTGGGCCAGGTCTCCAACTGGGCAGGGGGCCTTTGGGGGAGAATTGGGGGAGGTCAGGCCTAGGCCGGGCTGGCTGGTCAGTCCTGTGACTTGTGGGCCTGGAGAATTCCCCCTCCTCTCCCCGCCAGGCCTCCTCACAAGGCCCCCATTGTCCAGGAAAATCATGCCATTGTTTCCTGCCTGTGCCCCCCCCAGCACAGGGACACCCCCACCCCAATCCCACAGACAGCAACTCGGGCCTAGGACTGGGGTCTGTGAGGCTGGATGCCAGGCTCAGAGAGGCTGAGGGCACCTTGCCTGCCCTTTGCCACCACAACCCAGACTCTGAGAGGGAAGCTGGGTAGCCGAGGGAGGGGGCAATCCCTGGCTCTTTCCTCTCACACAACCCCCCCCCAAGCTCTTTCCTCCTCTGCAGGCAGCTGGACTAGGGAGGGAGCAGGGGCTTGAGCAGGGGCAGGAAGCTGCTCAGGGGCAGCAGGAAATGCAGGAAGCTGTGGGGAGGGTGGGGAGCAAGTGCCTGGGCTATTGTTCCATTTTTTCTGGAAAGAAAACGGAGGAAAAACAGAAGATGGGAGTCCCCTCCCCCTGGGTCTTCAGGGAATCCCCCTTAAGCTGGGGTAGGGAGTGAGGGTCCCTAGATGGCTAGGATCCAGGGGTGAAGCTGAGAAGTGGCAACTGTCCTGATTGTGGATCAGGAGAGTGGGTGTGGTGGCTGGTAGCCCTGCCCTGTCTCTCCAGCCTTGGCAAGGCTGGACTGTACTGGGTCCTGGTCCTCTGCTCCTCACAAGTCCCTTGTTCATGGCCAGCCCAGGCCAGGAGGCTCGAAATAGCCATTCTGACCACCCTCCAGAATCCTTTGTGGCTCCCCAGTGGCCCACTGAGGCCCTGCCCCTCCTCCATGTCTAACTGTTTTCCAGCTGACCCTAGTGTCCTCTGTCACAGAAACTTTGTTCCTGTCAGTGCCCAGACACCCTACTGGGTGCCTCTCTGAATGCTGCCTGCTTTCGGCACGACATGAAGCTTGCCAGCTTCATGTAACCACTCAGCCTGCTTGTCTTGGGCTCACGATGGGTACTGTATGGGGGGAGGGGCTGAAATGGTTGGAGATGGAGTCTCCCTAAGTCCAGCACCTGTACCCCAGGGACTCCAAACTAGGACCTCTTGATGATTCAGTCCTCAAATGTCCACCCCCCACAGTTGAAGACCCACTGCGTGTCAGGCAGCTACACCAGGGTTGCTCAGGTCATTAAGCCATTTCACCCTTCCTCGTTACGAAGCCTGGACTTGAGGCTCTGCGTTGAAATAACCAGCTAGTGGTCATGTCGCCGGGGAGGGATGATCGCCATAGGGTTGGAGGAGACTGGCTTCTCTGAGATACTTGTTCTACAAGAGTCGTGTGCCATGAAGGGGTGGGAGAAGAGAGCATCAGGACTCAGATGTTCTGATCAGAACCTTAAGGGAGGGAAGGTGAGCATGAGCACCAGGACACTTCCTAACCATGGTGGCCATGGTAGCCATGGTAGCCACGGTTAGGAAGGACACTTACGGCCCACCTGAGAGAACCCTGTTTCTTGCTGTTGCGGGCTGGGGTCAAAAACTCCTGGGTCTGCGGGAGGAGGACTCTGCTGGGTGCCTGAGACTCCTGCTTTGGAGCTGGTGTGAACCCAGGAATAACTCTGGTCAGCTCCTTCCTGTGGTTCCCTGGCTAGGCTCAGCTGAGGGACGGGGATAGGTACATACTGGGGCCATGCCACCCCCCCACCTCCAGCATGCCCGAGACTCACTGTTGTTGGATTTGAGGTCGCGGTGAATGACGGGCACCAGGGCCTCGCAGTGCAGGTAGTGCATCCCACGGGCAATCTGCACAGCCCAGTTGACCAGCACATGAGGAGGCACACGCCGCCCAGCCAGGGCACGGCTGAGAGGCCCACCTGCTGCATACTCCATCACCAGGCACAGGTTGGGCTCCTCCAGGCACACAGCCTTGAGGGCAATGATGTTGGGGTGCGCAAGCATGGCAAAAAGCCGGGCCTCCTGGCGAACGCTCTCAGCTGTCACACTGATGTCCTCGTCAGGGTCCTGGCGAGCTGCCTTCACAGCCACCAGCTCACCTCGCCAGCTGCCACGGTAGACCTTGCCGAAGCCACCAATGCCAATCACCTCCTCCAACCGGAGCTCCTGGAAGCTGGCCACCTCGCAGGGGGGCGGGCCACCACCCCGAGACACATAGTTGGATGGAAAGATGCCCACCTGGCCACCCACCTGGCCCGCCCACCAGCCCTCATCTCCTGAGATGGCTGCATCCCGGGACAGCACCTCCACACGGTCGCCCTTCCGCAGAGCCAGTTCATCCTGCCCATTGGGCTCGTAGTCAAACAGGGCTGTCCATACCGGGTTAGCGTAAGCCGCTGTCTTCGGGGACCCCTCTGGGCGGCCTCCACCACCACTCCCACCGCCCCCGCTGCCACTGCCATTCCATGATCCCAGAGGGCTCTTGAGGAAGAGGTTCTTCAAGGGCTCCATTGCCAGGAGCTGGTACTGGGGTGTGTGTGGGACCTTCTCTTGGTGCCCGTGGTCCCTACCCCCGTTGGTTGCCGAGGTCCTAGTCCTGGAACCTGGGCATCCCGGTCCTGGCCCTTAGTCCCAGACCCACGCCTCTCTGGGGAGCCAGGAGTGTTGTCTCCCGGCCCCCCGCATCTCGGGCTTCTGGAGGAGGGCACCCAGGGCAGAGTGGTCAGGCTGGAGGGGTGGGGCCCTGGGGCCTCCGGCGCCTCACCATGGTCGACTTGGAGGGGCCCAAGCGTTCCTGGGTCTTGTAGCAGTCCTGGGAGCCTGGCTCCAGCTCTAGCCAAGGGTAAGGTGGGGCAGCGTCTGGACTCTGGTTGGGTCTTTTTCCGCAGGGGGTGGAGGGAGCGTCCCCCGCTGGGCCGAGGCTGCCTCTTCCTGGCTCCGGCTCCTTTGGCCCCGACGGCTCCGACCCTGTTCCCTTCTTCCTCCTCCCTTTGTACTTTGGCCCCGGGGGCGGGAGGCAGAGGTGGAGGGTGGAGTTTCACTTTTTTTCCGCTCTTCTCCCTCCTGCAGGAAACAGCATCAGATGACGCGGGCGGGTTGCACCGCTCCCCTCCCGGAGGCTCCGGGCAGGGAGTTCCCGGGTAGGCGGGCCAGGGGAGGCAGAAGGAGAGTAGTATGGGACCCACCGCCCTATTACAACGCGCTTTAGGATCTAAGAACAGCCTCAATTAGGGGGTGCTCCGCTGCCCACGGACCATCATTGCCCTCTGCATCCGCATCCGCATCCGCAAAAAGGGCTCACAGGGCAGCTCTTGGGGAGGAGCAAACCTGAGTGGTCTTGGCGATGAAGTTGAGACTCTGATCCATCCTCTCTGACCTTCAGTCTTTTCATAAATGAAACGGGGCAAGAAGCTCTCTGCTTTGCAGTCAGTGGGGTGGGTGTGGGGAAGACTGGAGAACAGACAAACTGACTCAAGCCATCTCATATTCTTGGAACGGGTTGTCTAAGACTCACTTCTTCCCCTCACCTGGGAAAGAATCCGCTTCTTCATGGCCTTTCTCCAGTAGGCTAAACCTGAGACTTTTGTCCAAAACTCTGCCTAGGATTGGATTCAGAATAGCTAAGTCGCCCTCAACTTCAGGATCGGGTTGACCCCAATTGCCTTGAGCCTGTCACTTTAAGAAAAACGACGCTATCCTTTTTCGACTATTCCTGCCTATTCCGGAGGGTTGTTCTCTACTTACTCGGTCTGAGCTCTGACCCGGAAGTAGAGGCAGCCCGGGGCGAGAGACTCTCCTGACGTTAGAGGTTCTTCACGAAAAGGGGAGGGCCAAGCGGGCGTGCTCCGGTTGTGCAGAACTCTGGCTGCACTCCTGGGGAGTCACGCCTCCATTTTTTTTCCCCGCCTCCTGAAACTCATTGGATGAGCTTTACGCCAACTACTATGCCGCTACCCAATGTCTATTCAATTATCCCTTTCGTTCCACCCAATGGTGTCTATCCTGGCAACGCCTGGGTTTACGCATGCGCCGAAACTCTCCTACTTTTTGGATTCTCAGATCCGGACTCTGCGCAAGCCTAAAGGGCACTCCTGCGTCTCTTCGTTCCTCCACCTCTCGGCGCTTGCGCATTCATGCCGTCAGGTTTTCCTTTTCCGGGTCCCAACTTGATCCGTTGGGCGCATGCGCTACTGCAGGCTGGCTGCTCGCGGCTTCTTCTTCCGGCCTCCCCTTTGGGCCGGCACCGGTAGAAGCGGGGCGAGCGCGAAGCCCCAAGCTAGTGATCTGCGACCCCGGAAGTGGGCCTCAAGGGCC